TTGGTTCACAGGAGAGGCTTAGAAGGGACATTACTCGTAATAAACACTGGTGGCGCTATGATCCAGCCAAGGGTGGAAACTGGACTTTTAAAGTTAGTTAACTCTCTTGCCTCGGTAAGATGTTTTTATATGGGTAATGTATTTAGAATGATTTAGTTTGGTGTCTATATTTATTTCTTATTCTATCTGGCAATATTGACATGTCTTTTCGATGTTAAGATATTGGTGTCGCCTTCCTTCCTAAAAGAACCTGACAAAAAAGTGTGTAAATCATTGAAATGTGAATATGATTGTGTTGACTTTAAACATAGGCCAATTCAGTATTTTATGTTAAACCTGTGTATTATATGTGAATGTCTCTGCTTGTTTCAAAGTTCTTCTTTTCAAACCTGAATAAAATGAAAGTCATGTTCGTTTGTTGTTGTACTGAACTTCAGTGTCTACAAATTGAAAAAGTTGAAAGAATGATGTTGGAGGATAAATAAAATCTCACCCGAGTGTCTTTTGATATCAAATATATCAACACGAGTTGATAAAAGTGACAAAAATCCTCGGCAAGCCTCGGAATTTTTCCACTTTTATCAACTCGTGTTGATATATTTGATATCAAAAGACACTCGGGTGAGATTCTCTATTCAAATAATTCTATCATTCGAGCATACACAGCCCCAGACGAAACTGGCTTAGTTTGTCTGTATGTTATTTATTATAGCTGAAATGAATGGAATTACCATTAAAATTCCTGCATGTAATCAGAAATCTGTGGGCCACTGTAACTTGATGTCACATAGCAATAAAATAGATAGCAGGCTGTCGTTAATGATATGCAGGCTGCTATCTATACTCTTGTTTGTCCTAGGCGTCATGTTTCCTGTCTGTGACGTCATCTTATATTACGTTCTATGATGATGCTGTTTGTAAATCAATGACCTCTGCTGTGAGTTTTTTTATGCAGCTGCTAAACTTATGCTGCTGTTTGTTGTTTTGTTCATTTTTGGATAAGCTATTAAGTTATTTTTCAGGGCATTATCATTTGCAGAAGCCCTCGGTCAGTCAACTACCCTCCATCGATGGTCAGTTAAAGGGAGACCTCGGGCTTCTGCAAATTAATTATTATGCTCTGAAAAATTATGTTACCCTTATAATACAATTGCAAGTACTGAGATTGTATTTTTTTAAAATGGAAACTCAATTGAAGTTTGACGCTGTTTCAGAAGACAAACAGTTGAATTCTTTTTTTTTTAAAGTTTCCTAATGGGAGAGTAGTGACCTACATACACATGTATTTGTTGTAACGGTTTATTGCATTATGAGGGCCTTTATTTGGGTTGAAGTGGCCCGCTACTTAGAGAGGCCACACCTGAAAGGAAGCTTCTTGGAAGGATGCTGTGCTCATAGGTCCACCCGTGTCGGGCAGCTTCCTAGGTCCAGTAGAGAAGACTGCAAGTGGACCAGTGGACCAGTATATTGCAGAGACTTTCATCACTTCGGCTTTCCTCCCACATTAAGAAGGTATGCAGTGATAAGGAAGTTCCACTCACTCACTGTCCCTGGGTGTGTATATGAGATCCTGAAACCTCCAATAGAATAACACAGTACCTTGGACTGGTGTAAATCTTTCAGTTTTGCCATTTTCCCGCTGTGGTTTGTTTGTTTTTCTGATGTGCACTTGTAGGCAACTCACCAGGTTTATTATTTGTGTATCAACATGTCAGGTTACAGAGTGAAGTGAGTTATTAGTCGCCGTTGTCCACATTCCAACATTATCACAGTGACCTGTAAATTATATGACTGATGGCATGAACACCATGTTGCTCCATCATTGTTTTGTTTGTTTGTTGTTTAACGCTGCACTCAGCAATATTCCAGCTATATGACAGTAGTCAGTAAATAACTGGACCAGACAATCAAGTGATTGACATCATGAGCATCAATCTTTACACAATTGGGATATGATGACTTGCTTCAAACAAGCCTCCGAGCTTGACCACCTGATCCCATCAGTTGCCTTTTACAACAAGCTTTTACGGCAAGCAAGGACTGCTGAAGACCTAATCTACCCCGGGTCTGACATGATGAGAGTCAATCTACAAAACTGGGATACGATGACACGCATCAACCACGTCTAACTAATAACTCGCCTCTTACAACAAGCATGGGTTGCTGAAGACCAACTCTACCAACCTGGATCTTCACGGGTCGCTCCATCATTGAGTCAAGATGACAACCAATCAGTCAAGTCACAGGCCTTGGACACAAGGCCCATTTGAGTCGACTCTTACTGCAATCATTGCTTACTGCATGGGGACCGATGTTACCCCAGAATGCCCACAGCATATTCGTGTTACATAAGTGAATATTGATAATCATTAATGTTTGTTTACTCACATTAACCATGCTTTATCTGCACCTGACTTCCAGTTCAAATCACTGTCATGTGTGTACAAGACCTGTAACACAATGCATGACCTTCATTTCATCAAGACCGTCTTCATGGTGGAGTTGATAGTGCGCCTGCCCAGAGAGCAGAACGTCGGTGTTCAAACCTGTCTGTCTTACCAAAAGAAATTAAAAGATGGTACTTGTTGTTACCCTGCTTGACATTTGGCGGAGTAAAAAAATAATGAAAAAAGGACTGGTTGGCTTGGAATTGGTGTACAGTGTCTGCTTGAGATATCCATGTTTAACTGCAGCATGGTATCTCACTTGGCTAGCATTATGAAACCTGCATAATTAAGTCCAGACTAGTACAAAGAGCCACACATTCACGTCTCCATATATAAGTGCAATAATCTTGAACACGTTAAACCCCATTTCACATCGCCACTTTAAATCAATGTTGATAAAATGTGTCAGTTGGTGCAAAAATATATGAAGGGAGACAATTCTTCACAGCATACATGTATTGCCTCAATAGCCACTGCACGACAAAGAGCAAACCACCACAATGGTGTTCTTTTCAAACTGATATGTTTTCCTTATCCAACTAACATATGTATCCATATTAAACATTCTGGTGACAAAATACATTGTACCAGCACATGAATCCAACACTTTTTACTGACAATCACTTTGATCTAGCTGCTTCTGTTGCCTGTATATGTAGAGTTATGTCCCTTGGCTGGATTTTCCTGATTGTGATTCTTAGTGTCAGTACTTTAGTCATGCTTATGGATTTTAACAGTGGCTGACTACAGTAGGTAGCCTAGTGGTTAAAGCTTTTGCTCGTCATGCCGAAGGCCCCAGTTTGGTTCCCCACAATGCGTACAATTGTGAAACACATAATTTCCTTAAATATGTTACCTCTATTACATCAAAGCCATAATCCTGCATTTTGGCTGACCTCACACTTTAAAATCTTCAGATTTTTCAACAGACAACCAGATATCCAAATAAGGTTTGTGTGGGAAATGGTATTAAACTTGCTCTACTGAGCCAGATCTAGGTGTGAAAACATTACTTCTTTCCTGTGCCAGCACAAGGTGTGAAAACGATACTACTTTCCTGTGTGAGTTAATTAATAGTTTTTGCTATATAATTTTCTACTTGCAAGGATACTCACATGAGTAGATTTGTTGGTAAATGTGTTTGAGAATGGATTCTCCATTACTTTGCTCAGGATGCGTTACCGACCTGATTCCCTTGTCCCCACATCTATTGTGTTTCAAGAGCACATTATTTGCAAAATGGATTCTAGAGGCGATTTCTGTAATACTCCCACAGATCGATGAGGAATTTCATGGATTGTGTCTAGAAGTAAGGGGGACTACAACTACAAAGGGGACTACTGTTATTTACATGGCTCGTGCAATTCACCACCTTGGTCATCTGCTAGAGACAGGTCACCCAACGTGACCGGAAGTCATATCACCCACAGAAGAAGAGTATACACCTTTGGCCAAGTTTAATCCGGATTTCACTTTTGCGGAGATTATCGAGGATTGGAAGTTAGTGACGTCAGACCACTGGTTACTGGAAGTTGTAAAACACAGAAACACGCTACTGTTCTATCAACGTCCATTACTCGTATCCCAGCCAGTAGTCCATCGAATCCATCTGAAAGGACCCAAGTTGGTGGCTGCAGACTTAACCTGTAATAAGGTGTTATTAGGCGAGAGAGCCATAAGCACATTGGAGGAGTTAGACACAAGCCTGAGGTTCCACTCTTCAGTATTCCAGGTACCAAAGTACACTTTGGACATGCGCATGATAATCAATCTAAAAGTCCTCAAAAAGGATTACCTAGTATTTCCGCCAAAGTTTCAGACGGAATCAGTCAAGAAACTCAGACCATCTCTCTGGTTGGGAGACTGGGTCATCAGTCTGGACCTACAGAATGCTTACCTGTATATCCTCTACATCCCAGTCACCAAACTTTCCAGACACAGTTGTGGTTATTGTTAGCTGCTTGCAATAATTTCAATGGCGAAAATTTCCAGATTTATAGTATTGGAAAGAAGTGACATTTTCCTGCCTTGCACTGATGTAGTAGAGTAGTTTTAATGCTTTTTATTGGATAGCTGGCAGTGAAGAGGTTGCTTTTGAAGAATCAGAAGATTTGATGGTGGTACGACAGCCAAAATGGAAGATTATTGCAATGTTTTACCGTATGTGTCTGCAGATAAGCCAAATTTTGAGGACCAGAAAAAGATTCTGTAAAAAGGGGTCGGCTTATCCACAGGATACACTTTCATGATAGCATTTTTCAGATGGTGATCTGTCACAAACATCGCCTGAATGAAGGTCTGATAGATGACCGGGTCATATCATAATCTTTCAAATTTCAAGGGTCAAGTTGATATATATGATATCTTGGGGTCAGCTTATCTGCGGTCATGTACGGTAATAGAGGTAGTATTCTTTATATTATACACAATGTAACTATTGTTTGATTTCTGTTGTCCCCCGTCATGATATTGCTGGAATATTGATAAAAGCACCTTAAAACCATACTTGCTCACTCACTCCAATAGTCAAAAACGTATAATGAAAGACAAAGGTGTTTTAAAAGACATTTATTTCATAATATCAACAAACATTGAGTTATATTTGTACTGATATATACCCATGAATACATGAATTAACATGCAATATTTTCCTATGAGAATAATGAACAAACTTAAAAACATACAGTACTGAAATGGGAGCATCAGGTAGCCATAAGGAAAGATGGCTGTCATGTGAAGGTCTCTCAGGGAAGATGTTTAGGATGAAAAACTGAATCATGTCTTCATTAATTACACCTTACATGATGGGTACTTCACTGTTGATGACATGGTGTTATAGGGTAAGGTATAAAATATGCCCTAGTTTTCTTTTCCATGACCAGGTCGTGCTGATGAAGGTCTTCATCAACGCACACCTGTGGGTGAGACCGTTAGCTCAGCACTTGCATGGTTCCAGCCTTGGAACAGCAGCATACCCCAAAGACAATTGGACCATACATATCTTTCATGGTTATCCAGCCAAGCAATGCAGGCATCCCGCATTCATTTGTCCAAACTATACTGAACAAAATAGATTAGGGATCATGAATATTGTATGGGATATGCTTTGTAGTGATGACACAAGTTCATCAAAATCCTCTAAATATTCATGACCCTATTTGTTTGTTCAGCATATACCACTCAACATTTGATAGGGACAGAGCTACAGATAAGTTGCGTATTTGCGTAAAATACCCCCCCAAAAAAACAAAAAACAACAACAAACAAAAACAACAAAAACTTATTCAAAACCCGATTACTTTCAATTAACTTGCGTACAGAAACGCATTTCATGAAAAACTCAAGTATAAAAAGACAGCATGCGTAAATACCCAATAAAGCTTTTTCAGCATGCATACAATGGAGCTCATTTCCGAAACACAATTATGAGCTAATTTACTTTCCAAGTCAAGCCTAAGTTAGAACCCTTGTATACATCTAAAACATTAAAAAAAATTGGTATGAAATCTCAAATGTTGTTTTATCAAGCTGTTTTATGAAGCTGCACATGCTTCATTTCCATGGCAACATCAAATACTATTTGTGTGACAACATATCCGACAATCAGTCACATTGTCCCCACCTGGATACTCCCTACCACTATCAAAAGTTGAGTAGTATAACAGCCACTGGTTTGTCTGTTCAGGGTGCACATATTGCAAGCTGTTCATGATGTACAACCCTGGGCCATCCTTGTACCCGACTATCCCGAGGCTGCGCCATGGTACAAGATATTATTTATCTTGAAAGAATATTTACAGCCTATATGTTATCACAAGTGCACCTCACGGTTTACACATCATAAAACATTCTTAACATTCAATGGTTTTAGTTCAACTGAAATCGATTTCAGTTAACATTTTCAAACAAATATTCTTAAACGATTTCTTGGACACTATTTGAAAACATCAATCTTTAACAGATTATGAATAAAACCAACTTTTGTTAAACCATCTTAAGGAAATGTAACATCTGTAGTTATTTGAAAAAATACTTTCCAATCTATAAATCACATGTTAATAACAGTCAAAACTATGAAAACACTGGCTATAACTTTGTCATGACAGTAGTAGATAATGTCTATATGTGACAATGACGATTTGATGAACTGCTCAGAATGGTTGAGATTTTAAAATGAAATGATGCCTATATGAATGTTATCTGAATGTTGGTGATGAATCTATTGTATAGATTAGAGGGCTATACCCCGTATGGACACAAAGACACATTATGCATGACTTTAACATAACCAATGTGTGCCATATGCCGAGTAGAATGAAGTTTTAGATGATCATAATGGGCTATGCTAATGTAAAAATTATACATATTGCATAGCATTATATTTGAATTATTTCTGCCATATACACAATAGATTTTGGCCAACCTAAATATAAGTTCATGTGAACAAAACAAGTTTTGGCAGCTGTAATATTTATGAAGAACTTGAAGAATACATGTCTATTGTCATAAAGAATGTTACTTGAAAAGCACAAATAGTACTCTCACTTCATGGAGACAACTGTCGACATTTCTCAGTACCACTTCTGTGCTTCAGTGCTGATCAATAATTGAGGAACAACAATGTTTCTTAAATGTGTTTTTGCTTAGAGGCATTAAGCAAATCACAAACGCATGGTACTCCTGTCATTGATAGCTAGTGCCACGCATTTGATATTATTTCTTGGCATAACCCAGAACCATTATTGATATTCGGTAACGTCAGAAACAATCACATTTTCAAGGTATCCAGCAGGGCTAGACTGATAAGAAATCCTTTATTGTTTTCTAGTGGACATTTCGGGAAAAATATCATGGTCTATACTCGTCGCTTCATGGCCTCATGACAGTCTAGTCTTATTGCCATGGCAACCGATTCATCTGATTAAATAATGGCACATAGTGCACACTTTGTGGAGTTAAACCCTAAAGCAATGTATTGTCAATAAAGTCCAAAAGAATGTGACATGAATTTCCCATTTCACACCCTTGCTACTACAGCTGCTATGATGCGGAAACTGATGCTTTCACACTTAGATTGGTAATCTGCAATATCAGGGGAATATCATCTGGCAAACATTCCCCACTGTGTGTGATTCAAACAGTCGGTCATGTATCAAGCACACCTACATAGTTCAATAAGCATATATTACTTCCCAAGGGCAACTTTTGACATACCCTCATGACTTTCTAATTGTAATACTATGTAACAGTTTCATCTCCCCACAAAAATGTATGGTACTCATCTAGTTCTGTTAGGAATATGTACAGAAGAGCCAGGTTCATATGCTTCTTGGAAGAATGTTCAAGACACCAATAACAAAGCTACTTAAGGCTGACCAAACCATGTAGATAACAGCAACAAAGCAGTTTGACCTTGCTAGGTTCTATTCACAGAAGGCATAAACAGCAGACTATATCAGCGTTAAATATGTAAAAGCTACAAACTGCCATTCCCTAGACCGTCCTTTGTGACCCTCGGAGGTGTAGTACATGGACAAGGTGAGAAACAGTTTGTTTACTGATGTACATTTTCTTCATGTCTTGCTGACTTTTAACTGGTATTTCAAAGCAAAATTAAAGTGACACAAAGGATCTAAATTTCTGAAAATACATTTGAGTGCCACACTAAGAATGTGGAACAGGAAATATTTCTAATTTATGATTACAAACCCACATTAATAACTAGCACATTTGTAAAAATCAGAACCAGTATACTATCAAAATTTGGCCATAAAAAACTGGTGGAAAATATAAATTTCAAAGTATTGATACTGTCAGTTGACTATTACCATTACTGTAATTTGAATGAAAAGTTCCCTCTATCCCAAAGTAACATTGGTCCTAGTTTGACAAACTCCACATGAGGATCAGAGACATCCCATCTCAAATTTCTTGATTTGGCTCAACAGTCGAGCACCTTATGAAAGACAATTGTAGTCCATGCAATAATTCAGGTTGGAGCTAGTTGTTCTGCTAGCAGCTTGCATAAAACAATCTGCCCTCATCATAATTAGGTGTTTTGGCGGATATGAGTGATGCAATGTCTAATGGACACCTATCATGGTATGAGGGGTTTAGTTTGATCTCATTTCACAAAATAATCATGTTACATAATATTTGCTCTGCTAGGATTACCGTAATCATAAGGACTTCTTTGGTTGGCAAATGTGAAAGAAAGTACTGGAACATCAGCTGTCAAGGGTAATTATTCAACAGGATAAAGCACACTGCCCTGAATAAAACTGATGAAACATTTGAACAAGAAGTGAGGATTTAAAGAAATAGTAATACAATAAAATATCTTTGTGTTTGATCTCTCACCCAAAATAAACGAACAGAATCTGTAAAAATAGATGAGATTTTAAAACAGTCATCTCCGGTAAAGATTATTGTATTAATAATATCAGTATTCAATTAAAACAAAAACAGAGTCTGTCAGCAATGGACAATATTCAAAGCCATAACAGTATTATAAGTATTCTGCTGACAAAAATAAATATTCACAACCATTTCTTGAACAATACCCGTTGCCATTCCATTTTGATAAAACTCAAGTTTCTAATTGATGGCTTTTAGTCAAATCTATTCCTATCAACATCTGTATGCAACATCAAAAACAGCCCTGCCCAAAAATATACAGTCATCAACCCTACTCAAATGTATTGACATCAGTCCTGTCTTGCTAAGATGTTCACAAAATATTGCTGTATATAGCTACTTTGGATAACTTTGTTTAGAAACGCATAATTCCCTTTGTGCAAATAGCTCATCCATCACACATAAACAGATGTTGATCTACTCTGTCCACGCATGCAGATTTCTACAGTTCATTACAATATGTTATGTTTGGGATAAAGCAATTAAAAATGAAACATGATTTTGAATAATATCAATAAACAATTCTCACTTTTCCATGAAAACTGATGAGCAATGGTTGACATATTGCAACAATACTCACAATCATGATACAATATGTAGTGCACACAGTGCTGTCCCACATTTGGGTGCAGCCTACCATGGATGAGCCATTGCAGTGGGGAATCATAGACAAAGATACAAGACATGTCAACTCAACAAATATGAATGCCATTTGGGAACTACTCATTTATCATAGGGGGGTGGGGTGGGTCCAGTGGATTAAGGGTGGGGGGATGAGGTGTCATAAAAATATGACACAACAAGAGAAGGGGGTCACCAGAATTTATCACAACTACATGGGGTGGTGTGATGGCGGGGTTGGGGGTTTGTTTAACTTAAACATTCTTTATGGACTGGTTATTTATTATTGTCACATAACGTGTGTTTCAGCAAAATATGATACTTTCCTAAGGCCAATCTGGACCAAAAAATCAAAGATTGATATTATGATCAAAGATACACAGTGTTGGGGTGTGATGACATGCAATCAACCAAGTCACTGAGCCTGTCCACCCAGTCCATTAAGTTGCCTCTTACAGCCTACAGGGGACCAATTCTTACCTGAAATCTGCACATGGCATCACTGCAACATCTTTGTGCTATGGTATTATAAATGTATACTGTCATTTGAATATTGTTGCACATTTCAGAATTTCACTCAACATGCAAGTTTTAATCCATCTCTACCAAAGCAGCATATAATTTCCATTAGTGGCAAACTCATAAAGCATAATAACTTACTATTCATATTTTAAGGGCATATATATTGACATTAGTGTTCCCCTACATGGCTTCATGACAATGAACCAAATGTACCCTTAATAGTACTGCAGCCTACCTGTTGAACAGTAAAATATAACTATACAAAAGTACCTATCTCAGAAAGGATTAACCAGTTTGATACAGACCAGGAATAACCTTAACTGCTTGAAAACAGTGGTATCATGGACCTTTGTTTAATAAGGCTGAAATGATGTTACCCTGTCCAGCAATCTAGGGTAAATAATGGCACACACCTATAGGAAAGAAAACCACAACATAAGATATGGATGTTAATACTACAGTGTGACATATTCATGTATCACAATGCCTTGGTTAATTGTTCCCCCTAGAATACTGTCAAATGCTACATTTACTTGTTTCAAATGTGGAACATATATGCTCCTGCTTGCAACATGCTATAATGGAACAACAGTAGTGTCAGGTGAGACAAGCATGGATGTCTGCTACAGTGGCTGCACAAAGGCCAGGTATGTACATACTACAATGGCTGACACTCAGCAGAAAGGCAGATGATGGAGATCAAGTCCTCAGTAGCTCTTGGCTGATGACCTTGGGCCAAAGTCACGGAGATAAGGAGTATCAGTACTCCTGTGATCTAGCTATAACATTGGCTATATCGACTATATACAGTCATCATGAGACCATTCGTTGAAAATGGTCTGCAGATCTGGGATGACTGTGCAGATCTAACTAATGAATTTACAAATAATGTTCTGTCTTTGACGACTATCAGTTAGTGATCACTACAGTCCTCAGATCTACGTCCAGTACCAGTGATGTTCAAGAACAGCTCCACACATCTACTGACCAACTAGAAGCTTGTTATATAGTGTAGCTTTACAGTGTTGACAGATGACTGGTGCATTGTTATTGAGTACATGATGATGCAGTGTTGAATTATGGCCAACATGAAGGTCATCAACAATGTGATTCTAAAACAATATCCAATTATCATTCTATGAACATATTGCACTTCGAGCTGTCTCTTCAACGTTGTCATGGCACAAAGATCCTTGGGACCATATGAAAGACCAGCCATGGTTGATGCACCACATAAATCACAACATCAATGTCTCACGGACAGTGAAAAATAAAGCCTGTCTGTCTTCTGGCAAATGTTAAAATTGTATTAAGTGATCACTCATTATGAAGCATGGGCAGTTTTTGAACACAATTACTTCACATGGGTATGTTTCCTCGTACAAAGATATTCTGAGATGAAAATATTGGCTTGTGCACAGTGTCTGATTTGTATTGTACCACTGGCGCTGTGGGTAGAGACTGAGCAAGTAACACAGCACTGTCAGATGTTTTGCGTCACTAGGGACACAGAAGGAGGCTTTCAGGTTGCAGGAATGATCTTCAACTCGTCATAGCTGCAAAAGAAAAGAAAGAGTTTAAGAAAATGTGCTTTTGTTTACATGCACAAAGTAGGAGTGAGTAGAACATGCACGCCATGAAGTAAAGTTATAAATATCTATATGAAATAGCCATGTAATAGCACATAGCGAAAGGTATGATTTCTTCAGTTTCATATTATTTTCTTCATTTGAGTTCTCCTTCATGTGGGGAAGAACAAAATGAAGAAATGGCATTATTAACCCCTTCAAGTGGCAGGAAATTCTCAGCATGTCTTCAATAAGTATAGATTGTAACAAGATGAAAATGATGCAGCAACAAAGATACTGTATATTTCAGCGCATGCAAGGGTGGATCTGGCACATTTTAAAGGGAGAGGTCCAAAACATCGTGTGTGTGTGTGTGTGTGTGTGTGTGTGTGTGTGTGAGTGTGAGTGTGAGTGTGTGTGTGTGTGTCAAAGTCTGGGGGTGGAATTCCTTAGTAACATTTTGGCTGGACTAACAAGTTTATGCATAGTGCAATCAAAATTGCGTAACAAACTAGACATTTGGTTCACAAACAACAGGGATTTCAGCTGCAGGATTTGCCAAACTTGTGTACCGTCAACTGGGCATTGACACACATTTTCCAAAAGTTTCAGGTTTTTAATCAAGGTGCTCATGTGAGCTAATGCACTTCGCAAGGTAAGAATGTTTTATTACAACATAGATCTTGATTATCGATCAGATCATCTTGACTGGGCACAGCCATTTTGTTTATGAAAGGTTGAATCTGATGGTCAATAGGAAGGACAGACAAGGGACATAACTCGTAATAGCCACTGGTGGCACTATGATCGAGCCACGAAATTCCAGTGTACCTTTGCAAAGTTGGAAACTGGACTTCAAAGTCAGTTAACACCATTGCCTCGGGAAGATGGTTAGACTCAAACTTGCATGGCTTTTGACCTGGTGGTGTTTGAGAAGACACATATTTATTTTCAGAAACACAATTTTTTCTACAAAGTGTTCTTTTTACTTCAATACTGTAAACAAATCTGTTCTATGAAGGTGCCAGACATCCTCCATATGTTTCTGTTTTGTTTCTGAATCAGACATCAAGAAAATAAAAACAGAATTATTTACTTGATCTCTTTAACATTTTGACGAAAGAAACTTGTCCAAATAGTTCTTGCATAAAATTACTTATATATTGTTATTACATGACAGTTAAACAAATTGTCTGTGGCTCATCACAATAGCATTTAGCATACACTACTTTGAAATGTCAGTGTAAGTTAAACAGAAAACCATATTATCAAAAAACATCCATGAAATTGTATCATGTAATTCTTCAAGCAGATCAAGTTCTTATAAATGTTCCTTTTGGCACACATTGTGAAATAGGAGGCCAACTCAGAAATTAATATGCCAAGGCTGAAGCATGTGTCTATGGATTTGAAGATTGTGTACTACTCCACTTTTGAAAGGAGTGGGCAGCACAGGTGGCCCAGTTGCCCCTAGAGCATACCAGAAACTTGGTTTAATTCCTGGTTAGCCGCCATTATCAATTATGTTTCTAGGTTTGACAGAACCTTACCCATGCTTGTGGATTTCACCAAAGTATTAAATGTCTAAGACCTTCATCACTTTGGGCTTTCCTCCTAATCAAGCTGACATGCCGTGATATAACTGGAATACTATTCAAAGTGGTGTTCAAACCAACTCAATCACTCACTTTTCATAGGGATATTTTTTTTATCTTTCCATGATACACAAAAATGATCCACATATATGTCAAGTGTATATTTAAAATGAATAGAATAGAATAGAATATTTATCCCTCTCAAAGTTGAGTAGTATACTAAACATGACATGGAATCTTCTTCAATGACAGATTTCATTGTATCAGCTCTATCCCGGTCATTGTTAACAGACTCACCGCTCTAAGCAATCAACCCGATCTGATCAAAACCAGATTGCAAAACGTTTGATATTTTATGTCCTTAGAGCAAGATTGAGAAGGAATCAGCTCAATGATACATGTGTTATGAGTAGGTACAAGAAAATGTGCTAAAAGCAGAGTTGATTGTATGATTCGGACTTTATCATGAGCATGTGTTTATGTATCACTATCAAAAAGTGATGATACCAGATGTCACGAAAAGGTGAGCATATCCTGCCCCATCGGTGTCAACTATCACAAACACATGCAAAGGCACATCAAATTTTCAACTGAAAAAAACCACGGGAACATATGGTGCAACTATTTTATTCCATTATCACAATGTATAAGATCTTCAGAGAATCGTAAAATCCTTGGGGAAATTCAATCATATTAACAGCACCAAGTTTATGATTTACACAGTTTTGCTTATTCAAAATGACTCACTGAACATGTGCAAAATTGGATTTGTAAACATTTCTAACATGTGTCCTCTTGAGATTATACATCCCATCAGCTTTGTGCAAAGACTTATGAAGACCGCCCATCAAAAAGCAAAATAATAAATTCGCAAATCACAACTGTGCACTTTGTTCCATTCAGATATATATATATAGAGAGAGAAAGAGATGTTTGAAGTCATCGTGGACCTCGCCAATACTTTAGTTTCAAGCAGTTTCAATGAATTGCAAAAGTTATGACATAAAATATGCAAGTAGCAAAGATATCGCTCCACTTTGGGCATGATGGAATTGCCAGACACTTAAACATAAATATTTCTACCGGGTAAATAAAAAAGATATGTCTTTATAGCATACTGTTGATGCATATGTATGAAAATTATGTGGACAAATGCTGAACGGTATTCAGTGAAATGTATGAAAAGACGGACAAACATGTTGTTAGTTGTTATTTGAGCTGGACCTCTCAGAATAAGTCATAGGGATGAGGTCTTTAAGAAATTTTTCAGTGCACAGATCAGTACTACATCCTCAGCCAAGAATATCCTTTTGTATTCAATATCAATAATCCCCAAGTTTCAAGTAGCCATTCAAAAGACTCCCTTCTTGTAGCATGAACCCAGACATGGCAATGGCAAATAACCGAAATGCATGTATATATCACACAGACCTAATCACACTGGAGACTGGTAATGGGAAAACTGATTAAATACAAACAGTAAATATGTGGCAGTACATGGCGTGAGCTCTGGCTGGCTCATCATTGTCGGCAGTATCTCGGTTGATAGGGGCTATTGTGGCTCCCTGGGGCACTCTGAGTGATGGGAGGTGGCAAGCATGTCTCTGTTATCATTCAGTGGCAGGAAATGCAGGGGCCATGGTTGTGGATCGTTCCATAAGGTTATTCATGGGAATTCAATCCACTGTTTCATTTTTTGTAGCTGTTACTGAGGTGAAAAAGTTTTAACAATAACTGAACGTTTATAATTTCAGTTGACCTCAAATTGATTTTCAAATACTATTGACAGTCTTGCCCTTATCAATAACACCACTGAACCATATAGATTTGTAAGTCTATTCTTTGTGAATTTCTGTTGCAGGGATAAAAAACTGGCACTAGTCAGAATCTGTTTTTCTAATGTTCAAGGCACCCTGGGGCTTGTAGAATGTAAAGATATTTAGAGGATGTCCTTATATGTTAACACTATTTGGGCTAGTGAGCATTTCAGGTTAATTTCTACCATGGTATTATTTATTTGTTTTTTTGTTTAATGCAGCACTCAAAAATATACCATATGACAGTCTGTACATAATGGAGTCAATCAATCCAGTGATTGACATCATGAGCTTCAATCTATGCAATTTGGAAACTTATAATATCACTGTATTAGATATATCTGTGGATCTGTGTGTTGGTGTTAGTGTTAGTGTGTGTGTATGTGTGTTAGTGTGTGTGTGTTAGTGTGAGTGTGTTAGTGTTAGTGTTAGTGTTAGTGTTAGTGTGTGTGTGTGTGTGTGTGTGTTGGAACATAGAATATATTTGAAGAAAGAGCAACAAGTGTTAATAAAAGTAGAGTTTTTTAAAGACAACTGAGTAACTTTGGCATCAGGATTCACTAAAAGAAAAGAGTGAGGAGGACGGGGGTGTGGAGAAGTGGAACATTCACCTGTCAGTGGGACATAATTTTAACGAGAATGATATGAACTGACAAGTAAAGTCACTGGCTCTCCAAAAACGTACAGAACTAATTGTGTTTGTTTAAGTTCTGCATAATGTATAATGTCTTAATTATACACAAGTTCAGGGCTACCTCAACAAACTACATGAGGAAGTGGGGTCTTGTGTACCAATAATGAGAATGGTTGGTTTACCTTGGCACCAGGCGATATACAGTCTGATGTAGATTAATGGCGTGGTATAAAGCAGAGGAATCACCAAAAGATTGGAGATACCATTAAGAATTAACAATGTGTAAATATTGGTGAAAGACAGGAAATGAATCACCACAAGTTTACACTCTGGGCCAATTTCCGGTTGCCGTGTCTGCATCAAATGAGAAGTAACAGTGCATAAAGATATTGAAAGGAATATTTCAGCATAAAAACAAACCATGTATAGGAAATGCACGTTTAACATCTTAAGGTCTTACAAATAACATCATGAAAATGTAGCATCTGTATCATTAGGCATACTGAAAATGCCAGAAATGCATGACTTTACAGTAGTCGGAATCATACAATGGACTTTAGTAAAGAGTTCTTATGATTATTTTTTATTGCTTTTATTTATTTTATGTTAGTAACAGATCTAAATTGATAAGAGGAAGATGTATGACTACAGGCTTTAAATTATTAACACTGAAATAAGCATTACCAATAATTCTCTGGCAGTAGAAAGTTGAAAGGTCCTAATTCGGATGTATTTTAAAATGTCACGTGTATGTTTTGGAACATATAATATTATCTGCCGAAATACTTGACTTTCTTTTATCATTAAAAGAAATGACCAAAAGGAAACAAGTGAGCAGGGCTCACTGTAACCCCTGACCTTGACTCCAATATATTCAACATGAATTTATTTTTTTTAAATTCAGAAAGTATACATCATAAAATCAAACTTTGCACTGCAACT